AAAAAAAAGGGAGCTGATTGATTCTATCTTAAGACTAAAAATCCAGTTATCGATCAGTCAGTTCCCCAACGATTGTGTGCCTGATGGTTTCTTAAAACAATTGGTTTTTGCCTAGTCCAAAGGTCTTTGGCTCAGTTCATGGAGACAGATAATGTGATTTTTTCTTTTCCAGTTCCATTTTTAAAATGACTTCACAGATGTTAAATTTTCATATTATTGAAGTCTAGGCAATATTATATGATTTTATCTCACAATACTCCTAGAAGATAAGAATTATTGTTCCCATTTAATAAATGGGAAATTAGGACTCAGTGAGGCTGAATAAGTTGCTAAAAGTCACACAGTTGGAGTGGTAGAATCAGGGTTTAAAATTTTAAAAGTCTCTATGATTAACCCTCTGTGCCATTTGGAATTCAATCAGAGAAACAGAACCACTAGGAGGAACACATAGCAGTCTTTAAAAAATTTCATGTCATCAACATCATTACCTTATAACATTGATGAGAAAAAAAAGAATACTCGTTGAGCAAAATAAGAGTATTTGAAGACCTGGTTTATTACTTACAGTCATTTTGCCTAAAGTTAAAGTTGAGGACTTAATGTTGAATGAGGGATTTGTTTTAAAGATTGTGCCTCAAATAAGCAATTATCAGAGCTTTTTAAATGGCCTATATAAGACTACAGCTTCTACATGTAGTGTTGGAGCCTGCAGTCTGCAGGGCAGGTAGGAAGAAAGGAAAGAAAGAGGTGAAGTGAAAATTCAATTATTTTTTTCATGATTTTTGTCTTTGTTGTTGTGTCTCAAAAGATACCCCAGAGGGCCTCCCTGGTGGCACATGGGTTAAGTCTCAGCATTATCACGTTATTGCTACCATGGCCTGAGTTCGATCCTCAGCCAGGGAGCTAACCCATATATGGTGCAACAGAACTCTCCTATCTCACCCACTTCTCCCCTCAGCAGTATATTTCAGTAGATCTGCCTGTTCTGCTCCCTACTCTGTCTCTGGTGAATTCTCTCACACACATACACTGCCCACACCTCTAACCTATACCCTAGCTCTTGTATGCATGAATAAAGTAAATACATAAATTTTTAAAAAAACACAAAAAGCAAACAAACAAAAAAAGATACCACCACAGCCAAGATTATCTAGGCTTTCTCCTGTGTTATCTTCTAGAAGTTTCATAGTTTTGTGTTTTTCATCTAGGCTTATGATCCATTTTGAGTTAATTTTTGGAAGGGTATGATATCTCCGTATAGATTCAATTTTTTTTTATTTTGGACTGTCCAGTTGTTCAAGCACCATTGGTTGAAGAGAATATCTTTTCTCCAATGGATTGTTTTTTCTCCTGCCGAGGCAAAAGGTAACCCCCCACGCCTCTGGCTTCTTCTTGAGTTGGACAAACAATCACAATCTCATCATCATAATGCAGTGGAAAATTTATTTAATAATGTTGGGGGGGAACTAAAATAATTATACCGATCCCATCTTTGGTTAGGGAGAAGGGATATAATTTCAGTGCTGAATGCCTGAGGTGCCTGGGAGAGAGGTGGGGCTGATTTCATTCTTACACCTAACAAGGAAGGGAAATTACTTCATCTTTTGCTCTGAGAATACAGATGAGATGCTGGGACAGATGTTTTAGATGAGTCGCCAAACTACATTCTTCTAGGTCTTTGATTAGGAAAAAAGCTGAAACTTAGGATGTGATGATTTTACTTTACCTTAGCTTAGGGAAAGGTGAAGGACTTAGACAAGCACAGAAGCACATCCTCAGCCTCAAAGGATTTCATTGTTTTAAACCCAAAATACACTGCATGCCAAAATGTGAAGTTTTGGGGATACAAGATCTGAAAATCTTGGGGTGATCTGAATAAGGCACTTTCATTCCCTTGTCAAAGGCCAATTGATTATATTTGTGTGGGGGGGACAATATCTCTGTAGTTTTAGCTCTTTGTAGTTTTTCTCATAGATTTTGTATATATTTTAGATTTACACCTAAGTATTTCTTTGGGTGGGGGCTAATGTAAATAATGTTATATATTTAATTTCAAATTCCACTTTTTCACTGATCCTATAAAGGAAAGCAATTGACTTTTGTATATTAACCTTGCACCTGCAACTTTACAACAATAACTTATTAGTTCCGGGAATTTTATTGTCAATTCTTATGGATTTACTACACAGACTAATATGTCTGTGAACAAAGAGAGTTTTGTGTCTTCCTTCCCTATTGTATATCTTTTCCTTCCTTTTCTTGTCTTATTCCATTAGCAGAGGCATCCAGCATGACATTGGAAAGGAGTGGTGAGGGAAAATCCTTGTTTTCCTGATCTTTGTGGAAAGGGTTAGAGTTTCTCACCAGCAAGTGTAATACTGGCTATAGGCTTGTTGTTGCTAGTCTTTATTAAGATAAGAAAATTCCCATTTATCCTTAGATCACTATGAGCTAATCAAGGAATGGGTGCTGGATTTTGTCTTAAACATTAGTGTTTTATTCTATTAGGCCAGCCTTTTATTCTTCTATATTTTTCACATTCTAACATTAAACCTTTTTCATCTCTAGACCAGTGCCTATCAATTCAAATGTACCTAAGAGTCTCAGGAAATCAAATTAGAATGCATGTTCTGTCCCAGTAGTTTTAGAGTAAGGCCAGGGAGCCTGTATGTGCAACAATTCCCAGCTGATTCCAATGCTGTCTCTGGACTATACTTTATTTGCTAGATTTTAGAACTTCAGCCTTCAGTCCTATCTCCTGTTTCCATTCTCTCTGGCTGTCTACTGAATTTGCTTCCTACCTAGTGTGAACTCCAAAGCTGTAGTAATTTCAACTATACCTCAACTTCTTTGTTTTTCTGGAACAAAAACCTTGTCAATCTCCCTCCCACAACTGATAAAGCCATCACTGCCTCCAGTCACTAATTTTTACACCCCTTAAGAAAATCATATACTTGCCACTTCTAGAACAAATGCATGATTTCTAAAATCACATGAGAGCAATCTTTGACTACATTCGTAGTCAGTTCCTTTTTTCATTCCTTATAGTAATTTGCCTAAATTTAATCTCTTCAAACCCCACACCCCTTCCTTTCATGTCTCATAGTCAAGAAACAAAAGTCAATAAGCAATGAAAGGAAAACTTCTTCAAGCCATCTAGCAGAAATCACATTTAGCATAGTAACTATGCACACCTTTTAGAAAAAAAAAATTCACTCAAAAACCCAGTAATAAATATTTCTTTTAACCAACAGGATAAAGGGGAGGTAGAGAACTAGCAGGACAGAGTGAGAGGCAGAAGGTCCAGTTACCAACCAATAGTGCAAGGTGGAGTGGCAGCTGACAAGGTGTGATAAGGTCTGCTGTTCTCTGCAGCTCAACTCAAGTCCTTCCACCACCAGGGCAGCAGGGTGAGGCAGAGGCCTGCTGCTGCTGTGTAGGGAGGGGGTTGCTGGAGAGGGGGCTGCTAGGACCCTCCACCCTCCAGGTAGGGCAGCTGCCTTTGAAAACAGCTCCAAGGAAAAAGCAATCAAGCCCACGTGTATTTCTCCCTTGGAAAGGTTCACAAAATGGCCACAACTCTTCCCAGCAGTGCCCTGCTCAGGAGACTAGGGGTGTTCAGACCACACTACTGCACACATGCCCTGCCCTCCTGGTTGTTGGTGCCTGATGTCAGTAGCTGGAATCCCACCCCTGGTCTGCACTCAGTTGCTCCAACAAATTGACGCAGCCACTGAGAGTCAGGATCAGGACTAGGATCCATATCAAGTGATGCTGTTGTCTAATTCTGCCACCTCCCTTCTCCACTGCCTGGGAATCACAGCTGGCCTCTGGGGTTCTAAGAGTTCAATTCTACAATACAACCTGTGTCGACAACAAAGAAGGTGACAGCGATTACTAGGGGTTCTCCATTCTTGAAGGCACAGTCTAGTCACTTAAGCAGTGTAAAAAAAAAAAAAAATCAACAACACATTTCTGGGCCTCATTGAAATAAATCCTGTTGAATTTGTCTGAAGTGGGACCCCGACTTTTTATCTTTAATCTGTAAACGAGGAATTTTATCCCAGATCAGTCAGTGGTTTTCAGACTTTTTATACTCACCAGACTGCTGGCACAAGTGCCCCGATTACCCTGACAGATGACGCGGGACAGGTGCGGGCGAGGTCTGCCTGCACCGAAGTCTCTTAGGTTTCGGAGAAGTCCTGTTCTCCTAGTGCCCACAGCGACCACCCAGTCCTTCCAAGAAAAAGCATTTTAGAAAGGGAGCCCTGGAGCAGGCCAAAGGCGCATGGGTGGAGGAAGAGCCAGGTTTACAGAGGTGGCTCTGTTTTCTCGCGTGTGATTTCCAGTTTTAAACTGAGCTCCGATTTATTCAAATCTCATGCACCAAGTAAGAAAGCAGTTTTCCTAGACTCCACACTCGACGGCCTTTAAACCGTCTACGCAAGTTCTTCTCGCTTGAAGACTTCGCTGTCGTGCGCAGTAGGGCCGGGAGCGTGGCCCGGGCGGAGAACCCCGGCGGGGCTCGGAGCAACCGGCTCTCGCGGCGCGTCCCGGGGCCCCGGGTGAGCCGGGTTCGCACCCGCCCGGTGAGGTTTTGAACATCTCCAAACTCGCAGCAGCTGGACACACCCAACGCCCCAACACCCCTTCGGCGGAGCGCCCCGGACCTAGCCAGCGGGTGGAGCGGTGGCCGAGGGGCGCACGCACTTCCCAACCCGGGTGCGCGCCCGGACGGACACTGCGAAGCGGGGCTCGGCTCCCCGCAGCTCCGCGCGCCCCACCGCGCCGGCCGCCGCGCTCTCGGCTCCCGGCGCGTCGCGGGCACCGGCTCGCCCAGGTGCGAAGGTGGCGGGGACACCCGGCCCGCTCGCGCCACCGCGGTCCCCGGGCCCCGCGCGGCGCCTGAGTGGGCCGGCGGGACGTCTGTCAGGCGCCGGGGGCGGGGCCCGGGCGCGCCCGCCCCTTGGCCGGGCTATAATGACAGGCCCGGCCGGGTGACCGCCGGCGGGCGGGCGGACTGACGCGCCGGGGCTGGGGTGAGGCTCGGGACGCGCGCGCCTGGGCGCAGCTGCAGCAGCTGCCGGGCGCTCCAGACGCCCCGAGCAGGGGAGGGACGGAGGGACGGAGGGGCGGGCGGCGGGATGGAGGGCTCGGGAGGCTGCTGTCCGCGCTCGGGTTGCACCGACTCCCCAGGATGTAGTTTCCAAGTTTTACCTCCTTAGGACGCGCGGAGTCCAGTGGCAGGAGACCTGCGACTAGAACGCTGAGCCCGAGCTAGCAACGTCCCTCCACTCTGTCCTTATCTGTCCTCAACTTTATTCTTTTTATTATTATTATTTTTTTTCATCTCCAGAACATGAACTTCGCGCGCCTCTGGCTGGGGCTGCTGCTGCCTTTGGCAGCTGCGCTGGATTTCGGCTACCACCACCAGGAAGCAATGGAAGCGTTTTTGAAGAATATTGCCCATAACTACAGTTCTATCACTCACCTGCACAGTATTGGGAAATCTGTGAAAGGTAGGGTCCGTGGCTCGGCTCTTTGCCACCCACTAGTCCTCGCTTTCATTCATTAAATGTGCCTTCGCCTGTCGTCTGTCCCCTCTCCATGGAGCTATTCAGAGGTCTCCAGGCGGGTGTACTAGTGCCTTGCGTGTGGGTTGCTTTCTGCTTTTGTGTGTTTTGTTGGTTTATTTTGTCGGGAGAGTTGTAGGGAGGTTTGAACTTTACTGTTTCCGCTGTCATTTGGTGTCATTGAATCCTATGCATTAGTGGCGATGTGCTTTTGGGTCTTGCAGACACTGGTAACCTGGAATAAGTTTAATTCCTTTTCTAGATAAACTTCTGCCAAGGAAGTTCGTTTATCTAAGGTTTCCCTTTTTGTTGGCGCCTTTAAAAATGATTTGGACTGTTAGTATCATTTGGTCGCATCTCTTCTAAACTAATAGTATAGTTCTGTTGGTGAAATTTCTGCCTTGTATAATTAAGGCCTATGGCTTAAAGTTATTCCAAACTATCATTTTACAAGTTTCTTTTAATTTTAAATAATACAGTTCTGTGGTATGATTTGTGTCACGAATGATTAGTTTAAAGTTATGCAAAAAAAGAGTCTCTGATACCAATTAAAGACTTTTTAAAATTATTCTTGTTCTGAATAATCGATATGTTAGCTAGCAGTAATTGGTACTGCTTGATCTGAGCTCTTCCACCTTTATCATTTAATTGCTTTATGTTTTAATTTAGGAGTTATTTAATAAATACAAATATAATTATATGAAGAAATTCTCATTTTTATAGGTTGGGGATTTGAGTCATAGAGAAATGAAGTATGTTGTGTAAGATCACTCAGATAGGTGAGCTTTAGAACCTGGATTGTACCCCAGGACATTTGGGGAACAAGGCAAATAATTGGATACTACTTCTTAATTCTCTTTTATAATATGGAACCCCCAAAAAGATTACACAAAAAGTTTAAATCAAGAGTTTTGGCAAGTTTATGCAATTGGATCTCACCTCTTTAAAAAGGTGTGTTCAAACTCTACCTGCATGTTAGCTGTGAGCTTTTGAGCCAACTGGAATTGGTGACTGTATTTTTAATCATTTTCCAAAGATATTTTAAGGTCATGGTTTTTCTATGAAAGAGGTATTATGTAAATTTACTTACATGCAGTGCAAGATAAAAACCTAGGACTATGTGTGTAATGGTATCTTTGTTTTAAAACAACATTGCCAAAGAGTTGGTGCCAGAATTACTGTCTATTGCTCTATAACTCAAAATTATAGAGGTTGGATGTGTGAGAAATCATATCTTGAATCAGCGTATGTATTCAACCTTTTGAAATCATTTCCCTCTAGGGCTAGAGAAGAGCAATTTCAAAAGATCTAAGAATACTAATTATATTAATAAAGGAAATATAGAACACAACCCGTTTGAGTTATTGTTCAGTCATCATTTTAACCACAAGATGATGAGGATGTTGTTAATTTTAAGTACTCTATGATTTGGTAAGCTTTTAATGTTTTCAAGTACAAAGTGTTTTTGAAGGAAAGTTGGGGTCTCCCTGAATGTGAGCCAGCTATTCTGATTTGCCATGATAATATCAAACCACAGTAACAGTGAAAGTCTGCAGGCTTCCCCCTCCCCCCCCTCCCCCCCCCCTCGCTCTTAACCTCATATGCATTCTTGTGGTTATTAAAGGATTGAGGAGTTACCACGTGAAAATAAAATCTGACACTAGTGGTCAAATGTTTGTGTTGAGTATGTTGTTCTGAATAATTACTTGGATTAAGAAAAATCCCAAATCTGTCATTAGGTTCCAAGTGGTATATTAAACTGTACACTAGTACTGGGAGTTGGCTGCCTAAGTATCACTGCATATTAGCAAGAGCATTCAAAGACTGTGCTCCTTTGATGCTCTTTTCACTAAATAGACAATTTTCCCTGGTCATCCTGCCCTCTGGTATATGATAACTTGGCTTGGCAAGCAGGATTTGCTATATGTTATTTTTATTATGAACACGAGCAATCTACCCAGGAGAAAAAGTAATATTTCTACCTGACCAAATAAATGTTTAGTTTTATAAATTCATTTTATTGTTGTAATCATGGATTCTACTCTGCTTCTCTCCCCTGCCCCCAATTTACATCTTTTCATTGCATATATCCACAAATTGACAAAATCAGAGTCCAGTGAATTGGTTACTGTGTGGTATTTTATCCTCTTGATTATATGAATTTTCTTAATCATTCACCTCTTCCAAGCATCTGTAAGGTTTCTGATGATCTTATATACAGTGAGCCTGTAAGGCCATTGACACAGGTCACATTAATTGGTTTAATTGCTAACAAATTTGTTACTTTTGTAATTTTCAAATTTTAATTTTGAAGTCTTTGAAACCTACACCAAAGTTGAGCACATAAATATGCTTCACCTGGATTCAGCCATAGTAGACTGACCATATTTCAGATAAACCTTTTGGAGGAAACCCCATGACCTAACGAAATAGTAAAGATAACATTAGGTGAAACAACAGGAACAGCTCAAGAAAGAACTGAAAACTGAATGGAGAAAAATTGGAAATGATGCAATGTTCATTGGCTCCTTCTTCCATTCCTTCAGTGAAGGGAGCACCTCCCTTTTTTATTCAAACCCCCTTTATTTAGCAGGATGTCTGGCACATTCAATAATCTATATTTACTTATTTATTAAAGATTTTATTTATGCATACAAGAACTGGGGTGCAGACCAGATGTGTAGGGGGTGGGTGAGAGGATTCACCAGAGACAGAGTGAGGAGTAGAACAGGCAGATCTACTGAAATCCACTGCTGAGGGGAGCAGTGGGTGAGTCAGGAGAGGTCTGCTGCACCATGTGAGTTAGCTTGCTGGCTGGAGATGGAACTCATGCCACAGTGGCTGGCAATAGTGCTGAGACTTTAACCCCTGCACCACCAGGGAGGCCCTCAACAATCTATATTTATTTGTTAATGGATTGCAAAAAAACCTGATGAGGCAATATTGTGCCATTCATTCCCTGCCATCAGGTCTTTTAATCTTTTTTATCTTTTAAATTTTTGTTCTTTTAGTTTTTATTGTTGTTTCTTTTTTGCTTTCCTTTAAAGTACAAATATATTTATTATTGATTTTTTTAAGTCAACCTCTGCACATCCCAAAAAATTGGTTCTAGTACTATTTAAAATTAAATTCCCTGCTACCCTGTTTGAGAATTTTTGTCTTGCCTCCTGCTAAGTCTAACCTTTACTATCTGAATAAGGAAGGTTGCAAGGGGAAAGGGGTAGAGAATAAAAATCATTTATTAAGTGTTTTCCACATATTAGGTGTTTTAATGTTTTTAAATTGCAACAACTCAAAGTAGTCATTATCCTCATTACAAACCTGGTCTACGAGGTACAGAAAAGTCAACTTACTGAAGATCACAGGCTGAGAAATGTTAGAGGGTGTCTTCAAACTCTCCCCAGTACTCCCCTTTTTTCCTTAAAGCAGTAGCTTGACACAGATACAGATGGTTACTGGAGATTGAGGTTGTTTTAGAGGGTTTGTCATCACGCTTTGTTCTGAAAGTACAGCGTCTGCCAAGGATCTAGAGCTGTGTTGGCCAATAGGGTAGCCAAGAGGTACTTAGTTATTGAGAGCTGTGAGTGGACCAAATTAAGATGTACTAAAGGTGATTTTGAAGACTTATCACTCAAAAGTAAAACATTTCATTAATATTTTATGCACTATATATTAAAATGGTAACATTTTCGATTAGTAGGTTAAACAAGAAATATTTTCAAAATAATTTCACCCATTTCTTTTGTTAATGTATTATGGTTATGAGAATATTTTATTTTATTTTTTTAAAGATTTATTTAGGGCCTCCCCTGGTGGCGCAGCAGTTGACCGCTGGGCTGAGGATGCTCGCAGCCTCTGTACAACCAGTTTAATCCCCGGCAGCCAGTGAGGGTCCCACATGGCTCGCAGACCTCTCCTGCTGCGCCCGCTGCTCCCCTCAGCAGTGTATTTCATCAGTCTACCTGTTCTGTTCCCCGCTCTGGCTCTGGTGAATTCTCTCACCCTCCTGCACATCTGACTGTGCCCAGTGTTTGTATAAATAAATAAATAAAAATCTTTTTTTTTATTTATACATGAACCGGGGTACAGGCCAAATGTGCAGGGGGTGAGAGGATTCACCAGAGACAGAGCGGGGAACAGAGCAGGCAGACTGACAAAATACACTGTTGAGGGGAGCAGCGGGCGCAACAGGAGAGGTCTGCCGAGTGATGTGGGACCCTTGTCGGCCGGCCGGTATTGAACCCATGCTGCAGAGGCTGCGGACAGCTTCACAGCACAGTGCTCAACCACCTGCACCACCAGGGGAGGCCCAGTTATGAGAATATCTTAAATTACATCTGTGACGTGCATATTTTGATTGAGTTGTGCTGATCTAGAGAGTTTTGTGAATAGTATTTTTCTGAGTTCAAAAGGAATTCAAGTTCATTTAGATAAAATTAAAATCCCATCACCTGAAAAAAAATTTGGTAACTGGAATCATAAGTACACCGTTTCCTGACACTGCCTCCCGCCCCTTGCCTTCACCATCCAATAAGCCAACAGACATATTTCTAAAACTTGATTATTAATGCCTGCTTTGTGTTGCATCAATGGATCTACTGTTCTTAACTTATACCCCACTGATGCACAATTGGTTTCTGAACTTTTCCTGTTCTAAACACTGCTGTTGTGAACATCCTCACAGATGAAACAGTAAAAGTTTTCAGACCAGAGACTTTAGAATCACAATGACTAAGTTCACGTTTTTTTAGACACTATACTTTGTAACATATATCCTTGGGTTGTTGCTAATAGAATAATGCCTGACACAGAGCAAGTGCTACATAAAAGCTGCTATTTGGGATACATTAGCTCTATTATGGATAGAGTTCCAAAAAGGAAATTATTGGGTCTTAAGCAGTTTTATGTATTAAATACATGTAACCAAATTGCCTTCTTTGAACAAT